AATTGTGCTACATAAAAAAATGTAAAAATATAAAATGTATTGATATTATACAATGGATAAACATTTTTTTTTTCAATAATAGTAAGAAGTAATATTTTTTTCATTACAAGGTAGTATTAAATGTAATAAAATTATACTTCAATTGTGATTGTATGCTTTTAATTATGATTAACATCAACGGTGGGAAATAGGTTTCTATAAATTATAATTAATGGGAACCTATTATATTATAATATATTATATTAATAATCATCATTATAATACACTAACAATTGATATTATATTCATTTTTATAAGACTATAAAGAGCAAGTAAATTTAAATTAAAATCATACAAACTTACATAGACTTGTATCATTATAAAAGTTAATTTTTTATTACTAAAACTGCCATGTGCGCAATTTTAGTCAATGAAAAAAAAATGTATAATATTATAAAATCAATAACATATTGACGTTATTTGTTGGTTTAACTTTTTAACTATTTTAATTTTTCAGAATTAATAAAAAAACCTATGATGGTAATCAAGAGCCAGATGTAAATATGATTAATAGATATGACTGCACAAGTAGCCAAATACAAAAATGTGCCCCAGCAGAAATAATGCAAATATTTAAAACATGAAAACTTTTTTTTCTTTAAATCAAAAAAAAATCATGAATTTATCTGATGGGACATTTAAATATTTCTTACATTGGCCGTTGAAAAGCCTGAAGCCAGCAACGTAAAAAAATAATAATTTCTATAAAATATAAATAATACTCCGAGTTTCAAACATATGTTAAAATAAGGCTTTTGTTATGTGTTATAAGTAAGAGCGAATATAGGTGTAGCGTCAGTCGTAGATAAGATGAGAGAAAATAGACTTTGATGGTTTGGTCATGTTGTGAGGAGAGAGGAGTCGGAAACTGTACGAATAGTTATAGAAATGAATGTTGGAGGAAGAAGAGGTAGAGTAAGACCAAAAAAGAGATGGAGGTATGTAATTGATGCGATATGAGTACGGCTGATGTGAGCGTAAATGATGTGGATGATCGTATCAAGTGGAAGTTTAGGAAGTAGTTGGGATTAAGTCGAGGAATAAGAAGAAGATAATTTTTTTTCTGTTAATTTATCTATATCTTAGGTCAAACTGTGAAGTCTAATAGAATGGTAGTGTACCCTTTCACCTCTCAAAAAAATATATTCTAGTTATTAATGGCTTATGATTAATTAAAGTAACGAAATAGTTATTTAATAGACACTTGACTTCTCTTAAAAAAATAATTATTGTGATAAGAAAAACCTTTGTGTTATTTTATAGTTTCTTATATTTTTCAATTTATCAATTATAATAATTTTTTTAGCTCATCCTTATATTATATATAGGTATTTATACCTTATGGCGGGGTTACTTTTTTATTTTAAATGACAACATACATATTTAACTAGCTAATAACATAAAAAATGACAAGTCGATGAATACTTTAGACCAATTATTTCGGAAGTTATGAACATTTAAAATATAGTCTTTTTTTATGATAATGTTTTTAATCGCTGTCAGTTAATATCTTTACTTGTCCTATGGTAACTATGCTACGTTCTCACTGGCCGCAACACTACTGTGCTGAATTTTTTAAAAACTGTAAGGTAATACGATAGGTTTTGTATGTATGATGAAAAAAACTATTGATTTTGTTATTATTTCTTTTACAATTTTTATTTAACAGCTAATTAGATAAATTAATTAAGCGTTAAAACGACTTCTGACAATTGTTCAATATAAAGGCAATAACTTCACTTACATAAGAATTAAATTTCTTAAACATATACGTAATTAATTTGATCTGATCATACATTTACTTGTAAATAAAATATTTTCTATTTAATTAGTTAGAATAGTTTTTGTACAATAAAGTTTTAAATTATTATTTGATAAATCCACCGAGATTAAAAAGAGTAATTTGAATTTCTTTAAAAGTTATACTTGATATATTTTTTAATTACTAAATTAAATAGATAATAACTACAATTAAAAAAATGAAATAAGTTATGATTATTGTTTTGTAACTAAACTTTGTCAATAAAATAAAAATTAAAACACTACAATTAAATTTTTTATGGCTTCTTTGATCAAGTAAATTATTTTTATTAATCACTGTACATATTTAGAGAATAATGAATAAAATTATAAAAAAATAGCAATCATGTTATATGCTTTTAAAATGTAATAAAATCCTTGAAAATAATTACGCTAAAAATTGATTAAAATTAATAATTAGTATCAAATGATATTTATAAAATAGCTATTTCTAAAATATCAATTTTATTGAATTATTACCATCTCACGGTCTGCATAGAAATATAATAATTTTTAATTGATTTGGAAGAAGCGTCCACCTTCACTATAGCAATAACTTCGGTTAAAGACTCTAGTTAATGAACTTCAACTCTACTTTTATGATCAACATTACTCCTTCAGTAGTGTTGTTTAATACTTGGTCAGATTTTAAATGACACTTAAAACTGATTTTTCAAAATTATAATGAATCCCGTAAGAATTTCTGAACTATTTTTTTTCTTATGAGTTTTATCCTTTCCATTTCCCACATAATTTTTAAATAAGTACTTGACCATAAATTGGCCAAATATAAATGAACGAAAAAAAGAGCATTATATAATAAAATTGTATCAATTGTGTCTTTATATTATTTAAATTTATTCACATTGTTTAACAATGGTAACATTGTTTCCAAAATACGTATCCGTCATTTTTTAATAATTTTTTGTAAATGAATAATTAACATTTAGCAAAGAAAGCTTAACTTTGTTTATCATAATTTAATTTTACCTTATTATCTATAAGTCTATAGTATATAATATAGTGATTCATTAAGGATGAAACACTCATGTTCTTGGAAACTATTGAAAATTTTAAAGTTTAGAAATGGGAAGTATTGTACGTTTCAATAAATTCTACAATATTATGGTTAAATATATTTTTTTCATTCTTTTAGGTATAGAAATCTGAAATTAGATTATCTTTAAATTTTGGACCACTATTTTTAATTTCATGATATGATAGAAAAAAATGTTTCAAGAGATTTTGCTCTTAATATTTTTTTTATCTGATGAACGGTACATCTGTTAAAACCTTATAACACATTGAGTGGGTATGTAACGCGGGTGGGTACAACTCATACACACTTAACTTAATTTATTAAAAAAAAAATAATGAATTGATTGTAACTATTAACTCTTTAACTTTTTTCTATTAACTTAATTTTAACGAGTAAAAAAACTTATTGACATTCCAGCCTTTCTAGTTTTAACTATGCCGACTGTAATGGGATATTTTTTTGATTAATAGCATATTTATAGACATTATAAAATTACATATGATCTATACATATAATTGACAATACTAAGTTAATAGTGTGCCGCATATTTAAATATTTTATATCATATAAATATATATATCAATAATTTATTTAAATGTTTTTTTTAAGCTTCGATTTGATGCTTAGAAGGTATTTTAGTTTTGTTATTAAGTGTTTTTTTCTTTTGTACTTATCATTTCTTACACTTATGATTATTATCATGCTTATGATAATTTTTATTTTTTGCAAGATTTGTTTTAAATTTATCTACCCCGTTAACCCGTTAATAAATCACTGCCTACATTAGGCTGATAAATTGAGATTACCACTTCTATTAATCATCACTTCATTGCCGGCTGGCTAATTGGAACGTGTACATTATACAGCTCTTGGCCAACCCCAAGTAGTTGGGATAAAGACGAGGTAAAAAAATACATTATGCAACCTTTGGTAGCAGACAACTACTATTAAGTTGATGTAACCAGCTAACGTCAACCGGAAGTGTATAGTACCTAATAGCTTAATGCTTAGAAGCTGTCAAACAGCAGACGAAAAGTGACTATGCAATCAGCCGCTGCAGCTGTACATTGATATCATAAATGTAAATTATATATATTTAAAATTTTTTTATTAGTATGCTATGTGCACTAAAATTTTAGATGTCACCATAATGTCAGCTTTGGTTATAGCAATGCGGTGTATTCGTGTAAAGTGGCCTGGTGCAATCAGCAATGGACACCAGAATATACAAATAAGGTGACAATATTACGGACAAATCGTTGGTCACCTTCTATAGACACCTAGACTTAGTATGCGATCATATTATGATTACATAAATTAGTTTTTATGAATTCCTAGAACAAGATTTTGAAATTTGGCACAAAATACTGGTGTAAAATATTATTAATGCACATTCATTGCATTTTACCTCATAAACTCCTGGATGAATATTGCAAATGTTTAATAAATTGGTACGGAAGCGAGAGTTTGTTGGGAGGTTCAAACACTACATAAAGAAATAACCAAGTGTTTAAGAAGATATTTGAAGGAAATTATAAAAAAATATTTTATTTAAATTCCTATCAAACATCATGAGCACGCCACTTAATGAAATACAATTTCGTATACCAAACATTTATTAGTCCGAAATTTATTCAGGATAAATCGACAATTAAATTCAAAAATAAAAACAAAAATAATTTAGATTTCGAGTTTTGACCTTTAAGTTGTAGTTCATTATTCAACATGAAATGTTTATAAATCAAATTCAATATAGCTAAATTATTTTCCAAAAGAAGATGTTTTTGAAATTAATTTTTACATTGGAGATAACGTAGAAATTCCTATTATACTGGAAAAATTCATTTTTTGAATTGCTGCAGTTTTTAACTGGAGCGCCGAAATAACTGTAAGTAGTATATATTTGGTTTGTAGGGTTGATTCAAACCTGCTAATGAAAAAAGCGATTCTTAAATTCAAATTTTAACTAAGATTTTCCAAAGTACACTAAAACGACCCTAATTTCAAATACTAATTGTTGACCACGAGATGGCAGTAGCATAGTGAGTCAACTACAATATATATATATATAGGTATGTCTATTTAAATATATGTATATATATATAAGAGCATACCCACACTGTAACACCTCACGAGGTAGACTGAACATATTTGAAACGACCGGTTTGATTCATTCGCAGCGTGTTCAGCTCAAACCCAACTAGTACTGAGCCCAGCAAACACGGGTTACATGTGTATAGCTTTTTAATCTTAGTAAATAATAACACAACCATCTTTTACTAACAGATTGCAGGATAACGTGATGATGAAATTTTTAAAGACGTTTTTTGTGATACTTAGTTTTAACTGTCTAGAATTTACTGTGGTGAGTACTATTGTTATTGTATCATTTATCACAAATGAATACATTTATTTCAAGATAGGATTGTTCAAACTTTAACTCGAAGAACTACAATTAAAATTTTTTAGAATTAATTTTTTCTAAAAGAAAAATTAATTTTCATCCTCGCATAACAATTCAATACTTATTGCTCTATACAAATATTAATTTAAAAAATCCAAGTATAATAAATGTTATTCGACAAAAAATATGTTAAATCCAAAAATTGATTTTGACCAAATACACAGTTATCATAATGTTACTTATTGATATTTAATAGTTATGATAATTTTTTTAAGTGCATTATAAAAATAATTTCTTACCTTTGTTTTATTCTAGAAAGTTAAATATATATAACAATTTAAAATATTAATTTTAGACTAATTTTAAATTTTAGTTTTAAATATATATAGTCCTAAATTTCATTATACAAATAANATTTTAAATTTTAGTTTTAAATATATATAGTCCTAAATTTCATTATACAAATAATTATATAACGAAATATTAATTATATATTCATTTCCGATTTTATCTTCTATAGTAGCTTTGTTTGTTCAAAATTTTTTTCATAAAAATACTTAATTACTTAATCTTATTAGACACAATAGATTCGATTCATAATATTTGTATTTTTATTTATAGTATTTGAAGTAGAAATAGTTCAACGTGATGAAATTCACTTATTCAGTTTAATTAACATATTATTTCAACCATTTTTGTTTAATCTATCAATTTAATTATAGTGTCTATCGATAAATACAAATTTAATCTAGCTACTTGAATTATTTTTCCTATATTACAGCGTAAATCTGAATTTTGAATTAATTAAATCTTATCAATTAAATAGCCATAGTTCACGGATAATAATAAGATTTTAGTGTGGTACGTCAATATAAGAGGATTAATTAATTGCCAAGTAATAAATAAATCAATTGAAATGTTAAACATAGAGAAACTTAATATTTTAATTTTATTTTAAATATTTTTAATATTAATATGAAATAGTTATTTTTATTTATTTAATTTTTATTGTTTACACACCCTTAGTGGTAATTTTTTGTATGCTATTTGAGATTTTAAAATAACTTTTGTATTAAAACTTATTTGCTGAGTTTCTGTTATAGTAGTAATCCTAAAAATTGCCGAGTATGCTTCATTTTTCATTTGCATTTCATTACTTTAGTCAGTTCTGTAATATTAACGATCAGTCCAAAAATCCATTGGTCATTTAAAAATTATGACTAAAATAAAGTATTATAATTTGAGTTTTTTTGTTAAAATTGTATTATTTAGAACAAATATGGCTTAAATGAATGTATGCCGTTTTAATACAATTGAATAATTATCGTTAATATCTATTCTAATACTCGATTGAATTCATGAAGACGTTAGCATAAATTTTTTATGGATCAGATAAATAGTTTACCATCAATTTTTCGACGTTATGTTACCATAAGTGTTTAATGTTTTTTATTTTGTTTCATATTTATATACTTGATCGATTCTATGTATTATTACATTATTACATTATTATTAAATATGAGTAAATATAAGATAATATCGTACTGTTGTGAGTGTAGTAAATTGTTTATAAATGTTGTCTTTTGGTAAAAATGCACAACTCTTGTACAATACAGTTTATGTCGTATCTATAAAATTGAATGCGTAATACTAAATAATATTGTTTATCAATAACAGTAAAATGATAAATTCATTCCATGCATTGGTATGATTATTTTAAGTTACTACAATAGAGTATTTATAATGCGATATGTATTGCCGCTATTGCTGTTGTAATGAGTTCTTCTGATGTTAGTCAGTTTGATGTCAGTTTAATAAATACAATTTTCCTTGTTTCCTTTGTTAAATTTATAAATACTATTAATTAAATATTAAATCATTCTTGGACATTTACGGGGTATTACAATAAATCATATATTATGACAATGTATATTATTCAACAGTTTTTATTAATTTATATTAAAATTTAATAATTTTGTTGAATTTTAATTTTAAAGAGATTATAATTATTATTTTATTAATTTTGAATACACATTACAAGAAATTAAACATTATTTGTTTTTGATACTTTTGGTAACATAAATTATATCACATAAAATATTAAGTAGAAGTGTGGCGCTTTGTTTTAGCTTCGATGCGAAGCTGAGAATGTGTTAATTTTACTATGATGTGATTTTTTTTTGTGTCTGTTACCATTTTTTCTCAGCTCTTATCGAACCGATTTCTTTCAACGATACGTCAAAAGATCACAAATCGTATCTAGTCGAAGACATTACCCTCAAAAATTGAAAAAATGTTCCTCGTTCCACATAAATGAGGGAAATCTCCAAAAAAAATTACAAATTTAAAAATTGCTAATTTTCGAAATCTTTTTACTTTAAAGTATGATAACTTTTACACAAAGAATTAACTATTTCAACTTAACTTTTGAAAGTGTTCCGGAAAGTCTGACACTTTTATATATATCTTAAATTAAAGCTAATGTAAAGTACTTTATTATGGAAAAAAAAAAATCGGACTTTAGTTTGTTTTCATGATGAAAACTTACATCATAGTTGATAAATAAATGAGATTTTCTATGAGCAAATGGCAGTCGAAGTAGAACAAAAAATAGGAGTTTATTTTACTTTTGGAATAATCCACCAATTTAACACTATCTACAGATTTGCATCGAAGCTTTTCTTATGATTGTGATTTTAATAGCTGTCAGATATCATTATACTTGACGATATTATACAATTTGTGATTAATTGGTGTTAATTTTCTAAATCTAAATCTAATAGAGTTAGAGATACCACTTAACCTAATTAGAAGCACATTTCACAACAAAAAAATTTAATAATTAAAAACACGATTTAGATGAGTTATTCAAATATTTTCTCACGCGTATTCTCTCTCCTCGTCAAAATTCTTATGAACGACTAAATCTAATTTTATTTACTTAAAAAAAGCCTTGTCTGCATCATAAGTTTTTGTCTTATATAATCGTGAAGTATGAAAAGTATGGAAACATATCATATTGAGTTAAATAAAATTTTCAAACCGAGTTTACAAGGTGGTATAGTCTTCACGAATTTTAATAACAAGAATGGATCGTTTAAAATTAGTATTTGGTCAAAATTAACTAAATTAATTTAATCTACGTTAAACAACTTAAGGACTATATATTTAACTTTTATAACTTCTTTCTATAAGTACAACTTATTAACGTTTTATTTAAATGTAATATTAAAAAAATAAAAATAAAAATTGAGGAATAAAGGTGCTAATTGAATCAAACTTTTAACGAATAAAAATTAATGTTTGATTCCCTAAAAATATTCGTATTCAGTGATTGATTTAGGGGGGGGGGTTGTACTACAGACATCGATATTTGTACATTATTTATTATGTAAGTAAAACTGTGATACGTATTCCAAATAAATTTTATTGTTTAGCACCCTCCCTAGAAAAATATTAAATATCCACCACTGTTCGTATATAATAATCTAAATAACTTACACATAAGTAGGTGCATGTTTTCACTAGATTGTGCTTATGTTGGGAAAAGTCCAAATACTTTAAAAACTTTAATTATTTTCTCGATTGATAGAAAATTGGAAATAGCATATGCTTAAGCGTACACCTAGATCTCAAAAATACTTGATATTGTTTTTGATAAAGTATTTAAATTAATTATTAATCATTTTAATAAAATTATATTGATAAATATCGCACATCTTAAATAACAGTTGTAAGTGAATATGTTTTGAATTCATTTTAATATATAACTTTTCAGTAGAAAATATTACAAATTAACTTATTTTGAAAAATTCAGCTATGCCGTGATATCAAGGAAGCTAATAGAGTTTATAGTCCCCTCGACTTTTGGCAAATTAAGAGTTATATCTTTAATAATTATTATCTATTAAAAAAATTTAGGCGCAAGAACCAAAGTGTATTTGGTTTGAAGAATGTGGAAAGATCAAAGGTTTACCTGTAAATTGTTATAACAATAATACAGCAAAACCATTAACGGATAAAAATTCATTGGATGTCCTTCAAAAATGGTGCCCAGATTTTGTGGAACATTATACAGACAGTAAGTATTTTTCATTTTTAGTTAATAATAATTTAGTTATGTGCCTGCATATATTTTGAACTTTGCGAAGATTTAATTTAACAATATTGGATGTATATTTAGTTATAGATCTTGCATGTTCTGAGATAGTAAATAAAACAAAGAATTTACTTCTAATTTTTTAATTTAAAAATTTCCGACTACAGTATCTCACACAAAAGCAGGGCCGAATTTAAGAATTATGCCGCCCGGGTACTTGTTTCTACCGCCCCAAATGACCTTTTTATTTTGTTCACCATAAAAATTGTTCACTATTTTTTGCGCAATGCAATTTTTTTATTATTTGAATGAACAAAAAAAAGGTCTTATTTTATAATACATATTGCTTCATATTTTAGTGCTGCCCTTGAACATTTACTACCCGGTGTAATTGCACTCAGTACCGCCTTAAATACACAAAAGCATAACTAAATATAAATATATATAAGGAGTGGAACAGATCAAACTGACAACTCATATAACTTATGATTTACATTAAATTTTATACTTTTTAGTTTTTTAATCAATTTTTACAATATAGAACTATATTTAAAATATGTTTTATGTTATTTTTCGCAATTACAAAAAAATGTTTTAAAAATTAATTGTTAGTCCATATTATGTTAAGTACGGAAAAACATTTGATACCATTGGAAAATTGTAAAAAAAAAATCAAAATTTAACAAATTTCAAAATGCTGTATAAACGTAACTATTGAATTAAAATAAGAGGTTTTGCTATCAAAATTTTTCTTTAAAACTTATCTATTAAATGGTTATATTCAAATCTTAAAAAAAATTAATTTTTTAAATATTTTTTATAATTGCGAAAAATAACATAAAAAATATTATAAATATAGTTCTATATTGTAAAAATTGATTAACATTTTTAATCAATTTTATATTTTTTTAATTTAAATAATATATATAAAATGTAATGTAGATCATACGTCATATGAGTTGTCAGTTAGATCTGTTACATTCTGTATGTAAGTAAAAACAATATCCTCTCAATTTTGTTTCAAAGCCTATCATAATTCAACAGTACAAATTAGATTTTATAAAGGCGAGTGTCTAAACACAAAAATTGTTTTTAGAAATGGTGTATTCAATGATTGTTTACAAATAATTTATCATTTTTAATTTTTAAGACCGTTAATAAAGTCAAAATAAAATAAATATGATTACTGACATATATAATAGCAATTATGAAGGTATTTTTTTTATTTGGCTTATCCTTGGTTATCTGTTAATTTATTATTTTTTAATTGAACGATGCTCATCTACTAGTTATGTTACTTTAAAACAAAATTTATCTTAGTGCAAAAATTCATTTTTCTTTACACCATAGCTAGGATAGCTTTTATTCTTAATCTGCTTATGGTATTACATTGTATAATTTTTGAGTCAATCTGTCAAAGGTAGTAGAAATACACTAGTAGAAATTTTCTTTCTTTAGTTTATATCAATACCATTCTAGTTTTTTAAGTGTTATAATTTAAATAAATTTATTGAATTGTTTAAATACATGCAGTTATAATATCTATAATAAACAGAAAATTATAAGTTAATTCTAGTTTTTCTAAGTAATTTATTTTAATTATTATTCTAAATTTTAATGTATGAAAATTTATAGGTTATTTTATGATACGTTAAACTTCAAAGACATCATTAAGTTTTTAATGAATGCCTGTGTGAAATAGTAATACAATAATTGTTTTAATTAGGGAATTTTATAAATGTTCATTAAATTTTCCTTTGCTAATATTATGTATTTATACACTGAATGATTATTTTTGAATAAGTATTTTAATAAGTCCCATACGGTTTATAAGACCTTATAAAATAATTGCATTATATTGATTTATTTTTTTATTGTATAACAATTCTATTAAATGCTTTTTTTGAAGGTTAAACAGAGTTATTGTTAATCACAATGTAAAAGATGAATATTTTTTTACTATATGTATATAAAATAATACTACAAAAAACAAAAAAATAACTATCACAGTAACATTGATTATCTGGAATTATATAATATAAATAATGAAACATAAGTGAACTTCATTCTAATATACAATTATTAACTATAAATATTAAAATTATATTATCTTATTTTTTATAATTATTACTAGTGTACACAAATAAAATTTTCTTGTTAATTAAACTTTATTACTATCTAACTAATTAATGAATTAAAATATAAAATTAAAAAAATATTAATTTTAATTAAGACCTAAGTTACAACTTAAAACTTACGTTTTTGCATATTATTATATCATTGTTATTTCAAACAATAGAAAAATTACTCTCAGGATACTAATTTACACATTCGTGCGATAAAAATTAGACGTCATGTAGTATTACAGATTGCTTTTCAATTTGCTAGGTAAACTAAAAACATTCCTCTGTCTAATATTACATTGAAATACGTCGAAATGAACATATTTTGTAGTTATATTTTCGTATAAGAAAAAGTACTCATTCTGCGTATGAAAAATGTTTACCTACTGCATTATAAAGATAAATTTTCTAATTTTCTAAAGCGCAAGTGTTGGTACTATAAAAATCAGTGACATATCCTGGACTTTTCAAAAAAGGATTAATGCCGAAATCAAATGACAAAAATTACTGTGTTCCAATTTTTGGAGTGATATAAATCAATTTTCATTATCTCGATTGATTGTATTTTCTTTTTGTTTTTATCTAATATCATTCAAATTTTTGTGTATTGACGAAGAGATTCTTTTAATTGTACGAATTTAATACATACAAATTGATTTAACGAAAAATAGGTGACATAATTTTACTTAAATGTATTTACATAATGCATTTCTTGATCATCTATCATGCGGTTCATATTTATTAAAAATCATTAGTTCTGTGTAATGTTTTGTGTAACTTTAATTAAAACCAGTTTCCCTTTTAAATAAATTGTGTCATAATAACTAGACTTAAATATTTTTGTCTTTCACTGACCGATGCGCGTTTCATAAAAATTATGTTATAACTATTCCTACTACTAAAGAATTCCAGATTTTTATAATAAGATTTATGATTGTATAAAATATAACTTTTTAAGGTGTGAATAAGAATCTATACAATGATTTGTTTCATTACCTCTTATTATAAACTGTGTAATTTTTTGATCGTGTTTTAAAACAAATTCATTTTTCACAACGTAAAATTGAAATAGACGAAATTTCATTAAACTAGGATTCAAGATTTCGGGAATGAATAATTACATTAATTAAATTTAAAAAAATGAGTAATATGCATAAAATTACATTTAAAGGAAAGTTAAAATATGTAATGTTAAAATTTATTGTAACACCGTGTATAAGAAATCATATTAAATTTCATCACAAATTAAAAACTACATAAAACAACATTTTTACATAATCAGAGATAATTATAAATAATTACGTATAGACAATACATATGATATTTAAACACTACATTAGATGTCGCTGAAATCATTAAAAAAAATTGATAGCCACTTTAGAAAACTAATTTGTGTATAATGTATAATGAAATTTTTCAATGGTTAAAAAAGGTACTAGAATTTTATTATGATAATTAATCATAATATCATAAAAAAAAATTTAGACAATTTTTTCCTGAAAATGTCTTTTTTCACTAAGGTTATTTTAAGATATTTTTTTTTAATTTCTAAAATTAAAGTTTTTTTTTTTTAATTTTGAATAACAATAGGTTTATTTATATTAAAATTTGGTTCTTTTTACGTGTAGATCATTTAAATCGAAACAGAGGTTGATACGAATTTTCATACATATATTATACAGCTTAACATCGAAGCTAAAATTAACTAGAAATTTAAATTTTAAACAACTCAGGATTTATTATTTAACAGGATTATTAACTGTTCTAATTATAGTAGTTTTAATACTCAATGGAAAATCTATTAATTTTTACGATAGTTTATAAAAAAAAATTAATTTTTTATTTATATCACATACAAGTATTGACATAAATAGAAAATTTAAGAGAATCTTGAAAATGTCATTTATTAGTTTGATATATAAACTCATACAGAGTGATCCGTTTATTATAACCTATTTAATTACTTTCAAATATAATATTGAAAAAAATGTTTGATTTTTTTTAGTTATAACAAATTTTTTATTTTGTCAATTTTTAATTATTTTTAACATCATCCCTTATAATTTATAGGAGTGTTAGTCTTTTTTTTAGTTATAATATACATATTTAACTAATTAATAAAATAGGGAATGATCTAATTAAGAAAATAATTGTTCGATAACAACTTTTGGACCAGTATGACTATATTAGTTTGTTCTTGGACACACTTTTCTTCCTGTCTACGTATAAAAATGTTAATAACTTGTAAAGTTGTTCTTATTATGAAAATGGTAGTTCAATAACAACTTTTGCAAGACATTAAAATTTTTATATGTGTACAGGAAGAAGAGAGTGGCTAAAAACAAACTAATATAATCATACTGGTCCAAAAGTTGTTATCAACCAATTATTGTTTTAATTAGATCATTTCCTATTTCATTAACTAGTTATATATGTATGTTATTATTAAAAATAACCCTATACATTTTAAGGGATAATGCTAAAATTAATTAATAACCGACTATTTCTAAAATTCAGAAATGTATGTACTAAAAAAAAAAAATCGTATTTTTCAATATTGTACTTATTTGATGAATGTTCCATGATAAATTCCAGAATTTTTCAATTATTGTGTAGTTCAGTAACTGTTTTTCTGGAATTTATTACTATTTTGTTCAAATGTAAGATCAATTCATCCATACTTATAAGTTTGATACACGTTTGCCATAAAGAATAAAAAATACACAAATATTTTCTATAACTTCTCCGTAAAATTATAATATTAAATTTTTGAATATCAATGTAATACTAAATTTTTAAATAATTTATAGCAATTTTTAGCTTTATGTTTACTTAAAATGCACAAAGTCTATATTTTTTAAGTCCTTATAAAATTATCTAATTGTTTCATAATTGTAAGCTAAATCAAAAAAAAATATACTCAAAAGTACACTCTTTGTTTGAAAAAAGTTACTCTAACTCAATTTTAATCGAAAAAATCGACTAAACTTGATAAAATGGTCACAAATATAGCACAACTTTCATTGAGCATCTTGAAATAATTTAAGGAAAGTTAAAAAATTGTTATAGCAATTATCTTAAAAACTAGTTTTGTTAGAATAAATGTAAAGCTAAATTTAAAATTAGCGTCGAAATATAGAATATTTATAAAAGTTATAGACAATAAAATGGCTGTTTTCTGTGTAATTATTATTTATCTAGAAATCAATTAATTAGAATAACAGTTGTTTTAAAACGGAGCATTAAATAAAAAGTACATTTTCTGTATTTATTATTTAGTACAAAAATTATCATGGAATAATTCTGTAAAAATAAACTATAATGAAACACAGATAAACTTCTATAATTTTTATTCATATATGCTAAAGACTTTTAGTCTTAATGGCGATTTTTATCATTTTCTAGGGAGGGTCTTTAAAAATAATTTATATTTAAAGTACAAATTAAATATCAGATTAACCTGCGTGTATAATATAATCGAATCCAGATTCTTTAGATCGCTAAGTTGACTAATATTTACATTTTTATTTGTATGTATTTGATGTTATTGATTTTGTTGCCATTGTGACTTATAACCATAACGGTACTTCACTAAAGAATTCAAGGACGTATCTTCAACTCTCAACTTATGATTATAATACAACTTGTCAAAGATATTGTCATTATTTATTTAATGATAAATTATATTTACTGCTAACTGGATTTTTCATTTAAATATGTTAAAGGTGTATTTTTTATAAATTTCCATTTCTTTATGACTATAATTTTTCCAAATTACTTAATAAATATTTGATTACAAAATTTTATATTCATGCACCTCTTTGATATCAAGAGATACTCTTATAGTATAAATTTACTATTAGGTATTTATTATTAGGAATTGAATTTTAATGTTTTTGCATATCGATATTGAATGTATCCAGTCTTATGGGAATAATTAATGCAGGGTGCAACGTTTATAAGGAGCCAATGAAAAACTTCTTTTTTTTTTATATATATATAATGTTGATATTAATTTTATTTATCATCGAATATTTTACTATTTGTCAATTGTATAATAATTAGTCATAGAACTTTTTTTATAATTTTCTACTGAAATCATTTTTTTATACGATTTATGTATATATTTTAGATTAGGCAGTAAAATTATATAATCAAGTAAGAAGTAAGTACCTCTGTTTAATCCCATTTATACAAAATAAATAAATAAATAACAAATAAGATTTCAGTTTATTTATAAATAATTTCAGTAAGATTTTGTACAGCTTTAAATGTTAATCTGTTAAGTATAATAAAAAAAAGGAACTACCTTTTCTAAAAAGAAGAAAAATTTTTTACCTAATAATAGCTTATGATAAATTATAATTTCAATTTTATTACTGAAAAAATAATTATCTAAAAAAAGTTAGAATAATCAAATTAACAAAGTTAATTTTGTTTTGATAAATCCATACTTAAAATGTTGATACACGTTTGTCATAAAAGTAACGAAGTATTCAATTACTTTAACACTTTTTATAATTTCCCTTTAAAAATTACAATATTGAATTATTAAATATCAATTAAATACTAAATTTAATTAAAATAAAAAGTATTTATTTATTATACTTATAAATCATAAAACTTGTAATTAGGATATAATTAAAGAAATTTTATTGCAATTTTGTTACGCTAATGGCAAATGAACAATTATAAAAGAAATACGTTTTTTTTTAATTTATAATTATTATTTTTTAAATTTTAATACATACTCTATGTGCATTATTCACTATATGAAGGTTACTCATTTTTAATCTTGTGAAGTTACAAGATAATGCATATTAACTACTCTGTAATATACTTATTACACCAATCGTGAAGTTAAATATTGTTAAAAATGATAACTTCTCTTCAAATATTCTATGTGAGGTCGCGAATAGTTATTACTTTGTAATAACAAAGTTTCACATAGAACTCAACAGGGTTAATATTAAAAGTTATTTAGAAACTTAGTTTAAGATATTATGATTAAGTTAATTTCAATATGTCTAAGGAACATTAGCAATAATAATTTATAATCAATTTTGTTAAGTATTGTACAATTTTAGGTTATTGCTAGTTTCAGCTTACTATTATCCAGGGCTGGATTTATGATGGCTAACTAGGCTATAGACTAGGGGCGCTGCGGCCGGCAAAACTCTTAATTTTTTTTTAGATATAATTTCTTTCTGCGAATTTAATTATCCATCTATAGAATTGATGTAGTTATTTTGGTAAATTAGTTGCTCGCTGTTGTAAAATTATAAAAATAGCACGGAATATATTCTACAATATATATATATATATATAATGTGATTGGGCAGGGTAGCTACGGCACGACGGTATACATTATCTAAAATAATAATCGTCGACGGCGGTCGTATGAATTGTGTCGAGCAACCAAATCAAGGAAACGCTAAACGTATTATTAATTAAAATTAATGTTTCTTATTTTTTATAACGGTGCACATTTTATATTTAATATTTCATTATTTTATAAGATTTTTAAGTGCTAAGTTTATATATTACTTAACTGACAATTTTATAATAAAATCAAATAAATTTAACTTAGGAGACAATACATTGAAAACCTGTTGTGCAGTCGACCAACTTAAGACATTTGATACTAATATTGTTCAGGTAGCAAACTTTTTGAATCGTTGTCCATCATGCATGAAAACATTTGGACGGTTCCTATGTGAGATGATTTGTTCTCCTATGCAGAGTAGTTTTATAAATGTCACCGAAACTACAATTTCAGGTTAGTTTTGTCTGGTTTTATTTTACTTTGCATATAACAAAAATTACTATTTTTTATCATTATTTCTCAATATTTATTTCAAATAAATTATTATTATTAAAAACATTACAATAAAACAAAAACGTAAATAAAAATAAGTATTAAATTTACAAGAATAGTTTGAAAAAAGAGGATCTGTTACTATCTAAAGCAAAGTACTTAAAGTAAACACCATTAAAAAGGGATTCGTTATTGTGTAGGGTATAAGTGCATATTAAAAAATACTTGGTAGGGTTTAATCCTTCCAATTTCAAAATTAGTTCCTCTAAAATCTTTAAAAAATTATTTATACGATATTATAAAAAAAACGGTAGCACAGTGGGGTCATGGCATAGTTGGGACAAAAATAAATGATATCTAACAGTGATTAAAATCACTATCATGTCTGTATATAGTATTTAATTTTAAAACATTGGTGGTTTATTGCAAAAGCAAGGAGGGTTATATCTTTAACTAGACACTAGTTGTGATCATTTAATATATTGTTCAAAAAAGTGAAAGCTGAAAAAAATTAATGACACACACAAAAAAAAAATTATATAATAAAATATTTTAATATGAATAAGAAATTTTTTTTTTACAAAGGGAGACTACAGTGGTAGTGTCCTTGATATTCATTGAAGTTATACAATCTAAATTAGATAAAAATCTAACGAACTTATTTATATTACTTATTTTTACCTCAAAAAGATTTAAAAAAAAGTTATTTTGACGGTTAGAATCTGTTCGAACTTCGTACCTCTCGCGTAGAAGACTATAATTAATACGACGTAGCCACCGTACATTACATAAATTGGTAGCTAACATAACAATATTAATTAGTTCAAAATTTTAAAACATCATTTTCTGTACTTTGAGGAGCAAAATAATTAATGTAAGTTAGTTCAGGTAAATTAAAAAAAATTGATGGACTGATTAATATGGCCCACTCTTTAATTTTAAAGTATTTTAAAATTAAAAAAAAAAATAGCATATTTTTGAATATGATAACCATTTACACTATATCTCGAAATTTTTTATAATATAGTAAATTATATTATATAAGCTATAATTTAAGATTAAATATAAGTGTCAATATTTTCAGAAAATTTTCAAAAATTAAGTTGAAAAAGTTATTTTTTTGTGCAGAAGTTGCTATTTTGAATCCTCCCTTATGGGCAGATAAAATGTCAGATTTTCAAAATATTTATAGCAAATGAAAGAGAAATATATATAGTTTCTATATAAAAAAAAATTATTTTGGTTCGTTTATTTTTCAATAAGTTATAGCAATTTTTAGAAAAAAAAGTTTAAAAAATGTCGAAATATACCGATTTTAAAAATCGTAATTTTTTGGGGCATTTTCACTATTTACGGGGAACGAGGGTAAAATATTCAATTTTGATGGTAATGTCTTTAACTAGATACAATTTGTGATCTTTTGACGTATCATTGAGAAAAATCTGTCCTGTGAGAGCTAAGAAAAAGTAGTGGCAGACACAAAAAAATAAATAAATAAAACACATCATGGTAAAATTAATGCCTTCTCAGCTTCGCATCGAAACCAAAAAAAATATATACAGAGTATTAGGTAAGTAAGGAAACTAGTTTCTATTGTTCTAATTGTTTGCAACAATTGGCCTGTTTCCTTATTTACTGAATACGTTGTATAGTACATTTTATGTGTTATTAATAAAAACAGATTTAACATATATATTATATTTCAGAATCAGGTAAAGAGTGGGTAAGACGTATGGATTTTTTTATATCCGAAGAATACATGCAAGGGATCTATAGCTCGTGTAAAGCAGTCTCAAATCCAGCGACTGGAGAACGAGCTATGGATGTTATATGTGGCGGATCAGTAGGGTGCACTGCCAATAGGTTAGTTCAAATCAATTATTTGGAACGCCGTAAAGACATGAATCATAGATAACATTCTTGAATCAATTATTCTTGTAAAAGAAATTAACATTAGTTAATTAAAATCTTATATTATTTTATTTTTTATTTATCTCATTATAATTTTGAATTTTTTTATGATGAATGTATTTTTTTTAATTTTTCAGGTGGTTTAAATTTATGGGCGAGAATCCTTTCATAGCTTTTGTTATTAATTACGTTTCAGTTATACAGGATAACTTAAGGAATTTTAAACCACTAAAAGTTCCTGTTAAGCCATGCAATCAACCTTTTGATGTAAAAATTATATTTGATAAGTATATTTTCGATGCATCCCGATAATATTGCATTATATTTTACTTTTAGAATGCAACTGTTGCGTGTAGTTGTATGGATTGCGAAGAAAGTTGTCCGGTAGCTGATAAACTGCCGGTACCATCAGAACTTCCCACTTTGGGTGGATTTGATATTATAACATTATTATCAGCCGTGATATTTTGCATTTTATCAACATTATTTACAATGTATTCTTGCCTACTGCATTTCAAAAGTAATTTTTTGTTATTATTTTAAAGAATTATTAATAATGTGTAAAATTTATGTGATAATATTAGGTAAAAAAAAAAGTGAAGAACAGTATAAAGATACTAAATACTCATTTGTTGGTCAAATAAAAACTATTAAACGCGGGAATTTAGAAATTGTATTTTTTAAAATTGGAAAAAGTAATTAACTTAAGTTTCCTTAAAACTCAAGACTGTTAATTTTAATCGATTTTTTCAGACTGTGCTGAAAGACCCTGGATAGTATTTATGTTTGGTGTTTGTCTAATCACTATGTTTAGTCATGGTATACACTTTGTTCAAATTACTACGGATCCTGTTGACTTATGGTCTTCTTCACATAGTCAATGTCGTCAAGAGCGGGAATATTTTAATAAAAACTTTAAACCGTTCTTCCGGACCCAACAAGTTATAATGGTTCCTAGAGGAATCGACGATGTAATTTAACATTTAATATAATGTAACTCATTTATATATCAATGGTCAAACAAATACTGTTTAGGTGTATCAAAATTCATCCAATGGGTTGATAAAATTTGGACCAGTATTCAATCGTACATTCTTAGGGGCTGCAAAGAAACTACAAGACAAAATTGAATCTGTAAGTTTTTAGATTATGTAAATTTTTTTATTGTTAAATTTTTTTCTTAATAGCTAGGAAAACCTGATCATGGTTTAGAAAAAGTATGTTTTGCACCGTTAACTTCTGAGTTCACTGGGCCACCCAAATTATCTGATTGTGTTGTACAAAGTGTTTGGGGGTATTTCGGCAACAAAGAATACAAAATGGACCGTACATCTCGGAATCCAGACGGCTCTACAGCCACTTATTTAGATAAGTTTAGGCTGTGTTTTCAGTAAGTCTTTTAAGTTAAAAATACTATTTAAAATGTAATATATATTGCACATTTTAACAGAAATCCATACAATCCTCTTTGTTTGGCGCCTTATGGCGGTCCAGTTGATCCTTCAGCCACTCTTGGTGGATTTTCAAAGACAAATGAACCGATTTCTAAAAATTCTCCATTTGAAAAATCTACTGCTTTATTATTAACATTTGTGTTAAATAATAACAATGATAAATCATTATTAAAAGAAACGTTATTGTGGGAACAAAAGTAATTTCAAATTTCTCAGTTAATACCTCGTTTTTTTTTAATAAGTAATTATTTTTTTGTACAGATTTTTAGATTTCATGAAAAATTGGACTAAAGAATCTAAACCTACATATATGGATGTTGCCTATTTTTCAGAACGATCAGCTGAAGATGAGCTGAATCGAGAATCTCATTCAGATGTTTCGACGATAGCTATAAGTTATATAGTGATGTTTTTATACATAGTTATGGCTTTAGGTCGTTCTAAGATATTATTGAGTTTCTTTGGAGTCGTTTTAGTGATTGCATCAATTTTATGTTCAATTGGTTTCTATGGCTTAATCGGAGTGCCATTATCCCTGATTGTACTTGAAGTAATTAAATTAAAAATATTACCATCAAAAATATGAGTATTATCAAATATATTAATTGGTATGATAATTTTTTAGGTTATTCCGTTTATAGTTCTTGCTGTAGGGGTCGACAATATTTTTTTATTGATCCGTGCTTATCAACAAGTAAAAATGAAAGTAGATGAGACTGTCCCTAATTACATTGGTAGAGTTTTGAGTAAGGTTGGTCCATCAATTTTTATTACTACGGCATCAGAGTCGATATGTTTCTTTATCGGTGGTTTATCAGAGATGCCAGTAGTGAAAGCGTTTGCATTACACGCTGCTATGGCGTTAGTCATGAATTTTGTTCTTCAGATCACTTTTTTTGTTGGCCTTTTAGCTATAGACGCCCGAAAAGTGAGTAAATATTTACAATTTGGAATCTCCGTTCGTCATGTTTTATTTTATCAAACATAATGCTTTTAGAAGTTGAAAAAACAGAAATCGGATGAAAAAAATTTTGTTCAAGATGTATTTAAAAAAATGTACAGCCCATTTTTAATGAATAGTTATGTTCGGCCGTTTATTATACTATTATTTACTGCTTGGTTTTGTACAAGCATTGCAGTTATTCCGAAAATTGATGTAGGTTTAGATGTAGAAATTACTATGACTGAAGATTCTTATGTTTTAAAATTTTTCAAGGTATAAATTCAATAAAATATATATCATATAAATAATTAATTTGTTTATTTTTAATGTTTGTATATAACAGTACATGAAACAATATTTGTCGACTGGACCACCAGTTTACTTTGTTGTTACTGATGGGCTTAATTTAACTGATAAAAATGATCAAAACCTTCTTTGTGGGGGTATAAATTGTAACCCGTATTCTATACCAAACCAAATTTACAAAGCATCAAAATCGTCTGAAATGTAAAATTTTTATTTATTTCAATTTTCGTTAATATATTTGTCTTTAACTTAAAATTAATATTTTTTTTTCAGAACATATATAAATAGACCTTCGAATTCTTGGCTTGACGACTATTTTGATTGGTCAAGCATTTCAAGTTGTTGCAAATACTATGCGACCAACCAAAGTTTTTGTCCACATTGGAAACATGAATGTGAAAGTTGTATTATTAGCAAAAATGACCTAGGTCGACCAAGTAGCGAAAGTTTCATCAAGTATCTCCCTTATTTCCTCCAAGATAATCCTGATAAACATTGTTCAAAAGCTGGTCATGCGTCTTATAGTGATGTAAATGATACATTTTGTGTTCTTACAACTCAATTATAACTTGACATTTTTTAATTTAGGCGATAGTTATTCGCAACGATACTGTTGGTGCAAGTTATTTTATGACGTTTCACTCTGTATTGAGAACTTCTAAAGATTTCTTTGAATCATTACGTTCCGCCAGAATTATATCAGAAAACATGACAAATACAATTAGACAAATAAAACCAAACACCACAGCAAAAGTTTTTCCATATAGGTATTTCAAAAACCTTTTTTAATAAAAATAATAATCAAAATTTTATGTTGAATATTTTTTTAGTGTGTTTTACGTTTTCTATGAGCAGTATTTAACAATTTGGAGTGTATGCTTTAATAACTTAGTTTTTTCATTGTTAGTAGTTACATTGATTGTTTTGATTTTAACAAAATTTAATTTTAAGTCAGCAGTAATTCTTTTAATAGTAAATACTATGATAACGGTGGATATTTTGGCTGTTATGTATTTTTGGAATATTTCGCTAAATGCGGTTTCTCTAGTCAACTTAGTAATGGTAAATTTATAGTAAAAGTGTTTTATTTTCCATATTATACATTATTAATAATATGTAAAACTAAATTTATAGTCAATTGGAATAATGGTCGAATTTTGTGGTCATACAATTTTCCACTTTGCAAAGTCTGATATACTATGTCCAATCGAACGCGCAAAAAATACATGCACTTACGTTGGAAGCTCTGTACGTTTATTAAATTATTTTATTTAATAATAAAAGATATTTATGCTTATTTATAATATTCTTAGGTTTTCTCTGGTATTACGATGACTAAGTTTGCCGGCCTGACAATATTAGGTTTTGCTAACTCGCCAGTATTTACTATATTTTATTTTAGAATGTATATGAGTATTGTACTAATAGCTGCATTACATGGCTTAATGTTTTTACCAGTTTTATTAAGCTATCGAGGTCTGCTGAGTTTTTACTTTTTTTTCATAGATACACATTTTTCTTAACAACTTTTTCGTTATTTGCAGGCATTCCTATAAAAAATATTGATATTGATACAAATTTTAATTGGCCCGATATTAATAAAGTTACTTTAAATCAAGATAACTCACAACTTGAAGTTACTAAGTGAACAGAAGATGAAGTTATTGAACTTATAAATTGTACAACCTTGGTGGAATAAAATCTTAACTCGGATCTCATGAATAAAAAGTTTTGTTTGTTTTAAGTAAGAGTTTATTCGGTTACAGGTTGGACTGGGACGATCTTCAGTAAAATTAAATTATACTTATGTAAATTAGATATATTTTTTCAAATGTATAATTATTTTTTAATCTACTTAATTTATTGTATAAATAGCTATTTATTTAGTCAATTGAGGTGATGTTGTTTATAGTTATTTATATGTTATTCCATATTTTTATTTTAAGGTTTTTCTACTGCTGTTAATTTAAACATTTTTGTTATGAGGTATTATAGTATATTAAGTACGCCTATGGTTACGAATGATTATAAATTGACTATTAGATATTATTTCATAATTTTAAAGGTGCTATACTTTTAATGAATTCTACATGTAAATAAAATTTTTGAATAAAAGAAAAACATTTTAAACTTTGTTATTAAATTTGAAGCATTACTAAAGTATAACACATAACTGTTTTTCTTAAAATTTCTACGAAATAGATAATAAATTTTATTACTCCCTACCTAAAATAAATTTGTAAAATAACACTAATAGATTTTCTGAGTTTTGTGATTTCATACAAATTTGTACTTTTAGCTTCGATGCTTCATGTTTTTATTTGTGTCTGTTACCACTTTTTCTGAACCGATTTTTTTCAATGATACGTCAAAAGATCACAAATAGTATCTAGTCGAAGACATTACATTCAAAAATTGAATATAATAACCACGTTCCCCGTAAATAGAGAAAGTTTCCATAAAAATTACAAAATTTAAAAATTATTAATTTTTTCAATTTTTGTTTACTTAAAACTGCCATAACTTTATCAAAAATAACCAAATCAATAATTTTTTTTACTTACCTACAAGGGGTGATTCAAAATGACAACTTATTCAACTTAACTTTTGAAAGTGTTCCGGAAAGTGACACTTTTATATATATCTTAAATGTGTTCAATTTAAAAAAAATGGTGGATTATTCCAAAAGCAACATGATCTCTATTTCCTTATTTATATCCTGATTACAAGTTTTATGATTTATAAGTGTAATATATGAATAAATATTTACTATAGCATTTAAATATAATATGAAGTTGATTTCGATTTTTAAAGTTAAATTTTAGGTCTGGTAGAGGTTTTAAAATCGATTTCTTAATACTTTTTTTGTAGGATATTTGTAGAAATAATTGTAGTTGTAACCTTACAAATTCATGAAAAAATTCAATATTATCTAAACGTTTAAATATATCATTAAAAAAAAATGCATGACACATTTTAGTTCGAAATTTACATGCATGTGAGTATCTTATTAGTCAACTTTTATGTATAATATACACGTCGGAATGTTACTGGAACATGCTAAAAAGTTGTCAGGATGTATATAAGTAAAGAAAAGATGTACGAGAAACTTTTGTAGTCGGGTATTACTTTCATACATGTGGTAACCTACTGTCTGTTTTTATATGCTACCGCCACATCAGCTGTGGAATAGAATTCAGATGATGATGCTGTATTTGAAAAACTTAATCAAAGTGTCTTTTAAATCACTGAGGACGATGGTCACTACTTTCCAATAGTCTATTTGGCCCATGATGTTCAACTACACTGTGAAAGTAGTGAATATACAAGTGTCTCAGATATAACAACATTACAAAGGGCTAAAGATTTGAGATATTCTGTATAATTCATTGAATTTTATTACAATAGAATGTCTTAAAAACGTTATAATATCTTTATATTATAATTATTAACGTTATATAATTTTAAATTACCAATAAAAAACAAATGCATAGTAATGAATTTTTTTTATATAAATTTACATATTATGTATGTATATGTATATATATCTGTATCATGAGTATAATGTGACATCAGTGTAGTAAAATAACATATAAAAAATATTTTTATTTATTTTTCATATAAATTCCTCTGTCATTAACTCAACCCAACCCAACTTGCCTCTTAGATTCGTTTATTCATCAAATGCACATAATGTGAATGTAACATGAATTTGCCATTAAAATTAACTAATGTTCACACGTCGACACACAAGCAAAATGCTCATTCGAGGTATTATTATAAAATCCTCATTTTCTAAAAACATACACAAAGTTCTATGACATATATAAGAAAATGATGTATTACTATTTACTTTAATGCTAGTGAGACATCTAAAAGCACATTTTATTTTACCCGAGAGCTATTGATAAACATAATACTTTTTTGTCGTTTAATTATGTTGTGAACATTACAAAAGATATTTTACAATTTATTCAATTTTTTTTTATTTCAGTATTAATTATAAAAAAAATTAACATGCTGATTCGTATTGAGCCTTCACTATTGTCTCACTAAACCTCTTGCCCCTCCTCAATCCTTATAATAATACTGATACAAAATATGTTATCGAACAATTATTTCCATAGTTTGATCATTTTCTTTATATGAGCTAATTTAATATGTATATTATTGTTTAAAAAATAGAGTTCGTACCTTTATAAGAATATAGGGATGGAGCTAAAAAAAATTACTAATATATATTGATAATTAAAAAATACTAAAAACTAAAACTAAAAAAATTATAATTTTAGGAAAAATTTAATAGTCATCAATAAATCAATCACTTTGTATAATATACAATGATAAATATATCATTGTTTTTATTTATTATTTTATAATTTAATATTATTGACATTTACTTAAAAATTGTATTTTTCAGATGGTATAATTAGTTATACTATTCCAGTAGACGGTTCTTCTATTAACAACAGTGACGGAAGCGACTTATCTTATGACGGCGAAAACATTGATAGAAAACTGATCGGTGGACTTGGACGTTTAGTTGTTGGAATTTATGTTGTAGACAATTACAAGATGGACATTGGTTACGGCAAAGGTAAATTACACAAAACAAGTTTAGATCTAAACATGTTATTAATTATTAACTTATTATAAACTTATTGATATTCGAGTATCAATAACAGCTTTTAAACTCTAATTTTGTATTTCTTTATTACACTTAATAACTATTTCAAAGATTTACTTTCTATTTAATCGACAAAAAATGTGTTCAATTATTTAAAATATTTTATTAGTCTAAATTATAATTAAATACTCGACATGAGTTTGAAATTTCTAATTAGAGGAGCATTAATAAATACGGCATGGTGGCTATAATTTGGGTTAGGAATTGTAAATTCGGATGGTGAGGTCGTCTAAGGAAACGGCGGGTGTTTTATTCAATTATGATTATATTTGGACGTAAAACTTTCGGAGCCAGTTTATATGAAAATGTGACGTTTGCACTAGCTAATGATATGGACGTTTTAATAAGCTCCGATAAACTTACTGGACAGTATTCGTATATAAATAATAATTCAAGTTTCCTAATCCTCGNCTTTCGGAGCCAGTTTATATGAAAATGTGACGTTTGCACTAGCTAATGATATGGACGTTTTAATAAGCTCCGATAAACTTACTCGACAGTATTCGTATATAAATAATAATTCAAGTTTCCTAATCCTCGACAATAACAATAACAAATAAACGCATGTAACTTCAGAAAATGAAAACCATATACATATTTTACCAAGATAGGGTAAGCTTAAGGCAGAGGACAAACTGATAAACGGAGTTCATTATTATAGAACTCAGCAAGTGAACGCGCACATTATATCATACCGTGTGATGAATATTATGACTCTGAGTTCAGCATAAAATGAATCGGGTAAAAACTATACTAATGGAGGAATGGGTAATGGCCGCGAATTCTCCTTTCTTTTATACATCAGTTATTTAACTGTAACTCTTAAGACATGTTGTTCACATACAATTTCATTTCATTTTTATGATTATTACTTATGCGTTACACATTATTATTTGATCTAGTTGTTTTTATTTACTATTAAACGAGAAACCGTATTTAAAGTAATTAAAACTTATTTACAATCGTATTAGTCATTTTATTAAATTTTCATAATAATTAAACTGAATTTATTAAACAAACACAAACAATTATTAAATTTATCAGGAAAGATTAAATTTTTAAATAAATTTAAATTGTTTGAATAACGCATATTAAGCAAATAATTTGTGCTTATTATTAAAATACAGTTTCACAGTGAAATAGATAAATGTTCATTACATCTATTTATTTTGTTTAGATAGCTCCAACTTCTGTAACATGGAACATCAGTCCAATGGGTCAGTCCTATAAGTGTCGAGAAGCAGATATTGTACAAATCCCTAGATATTGTTTGTACGTAGTAAGTAAACTTGGTATGTCACATCAGGGTGAAGTCGCCATTTGTGAAACGATGAACATAAATATAACTGAAAACGGACGAGTGGTCGCTAAGACTTGTCCATTAACGTCAACAAGAGAAATTAAATTCTTGTGTAGCCTTACCGACCTCGACTTAGAGCGCGTATTTGGAGTATGTCGAAACGAATCAACACCGTAGCTCATTACTGAATATTATCCTGCTGAACTTGGCGATTTGGTTATCGTTTTAAGAACTCATTCAATATTAACGTAAGAACACAATTGACTATAAACTAACAATTACTAAAGCTGATTACATCTGATATAATCACAAGTTTATCAAACTAAAACAAATACTACTACAACTAATTAATTACGGCTATTGCACAAATTCTATATCATAATCTATTGAAACGATAATATGCGCTTTGGTTAGGCGCAATTTAGCTACACATAAGTAAACATACTTTTATTGAAAATAGTTAATCAAAATAAAAAAACTAACTAACCAATTTTTAAAATAACAACTAAAAGTTCGTTTAGTATTTTCTGGTATTTTAATTTATATTTTTAATAATAACGTTATCATTTAGCCGCAAGGTAAAATAGAATTAGTTTGTAAATAGATTTTTGTATAACCACTAAATGTATATATTTTGTGTAGGAACTGTCTAATTTCGAAAGGTTATTCAATTAAAGTAGCAAATAATAGCGGTGTGCAATCCAGTGTACAAGAAAGACTATAGTGAAATTGGTAACGCACCTCCCTATTCGATGGCTCCCGTGGGAAAGCATACTACTGGTGAGTTTTGTTTCTGATCAACGCCTTACCTTAGTCTAAGTATATTCAAACAATTTTTGTCGTTTTCTATAGGATCGATACACATGTCCCAGTTCTGTGTAGTTTTTTGCGGTGACAATGTGGGAGCTGCTGAGTAAGGCACGAGAAAAGCCATTTCACATCTCACCAACGAACAAGTAATACATAACGCCGAACAAATGTATTACGGAGGAGAGTTACAAGTAAGATGTAAAATAAAATAAAAATTATATAAAACAGAGAAATGTGAAATTATTGAAATTGTTTCATATTTCCTAAAATGTATTTTTAACCGTTTTATAAAATTTAACTAACTCAATCACTATTAATTTTTATTACTGAAACTTAAAAACTTATTATTTTTATAGTAAATTAATTTGTAGTTACATTGAATATTAACATAATTAAATTGATTAAAAATGTTATAAATTTACATAAAATAATTTGTCTTTGTCAACTATTGGTTCATCTTTGACGAATTTGTTTTTAAATTGATAATATAATTAATTAAAAAATGTTCAACTTTAAAATCTTAAATTCATTTTTTCTCTTATTTATTTTAGGTATTATTACCTAAACCAAACTTGTGCTCCGCGGAAATATACGAGCTCTTGTGCGAATGCTGGAAACGTGATCAAAACCACAGGCCCACGTTTAAGCAGCTCTATCATTTCTTGAAAAGGAGTCGCACAACGTATTCGTGTGAAATAGACAAACAACTACACAAAATTTCACTTGTTTAGTATTCAACATTTGTGTGATTTGTCTTGTTGATGTATATAAAAAAACGTGTAACAAATTCTCATTGTTAAATCTTGAATTTTTTCTTCATTTGCACTGTTCTTGAATAATAATAAACTTCATTTATACATAACTGCCTTCAAACTATCATCTCAAACACAACCATAGATTAACCGTTAAGTAAGAGCTTCATCTTTGACATTATTTTTGATATGTCTATTTTCATACAAATCACACTTTTTCTATTACCACTACCCATTGGAGGAATTCACTTTATAAATTTAATTTTAATCTTTTTTGAATAATTTCATATATTGTATTTTTATAATTATGTATTTTATAAAATATATATAATAATTTATTGAGTAGCATATGGTTAACATTTTTGTAATGATTGAATAGCACTACTATATTATGTACGTCTATTGATCGGAAATTAGCTAGACAATTAATGCGTAGGGTAATCGGAATCGGTATTTATTATTGTGTAGTAAATTAAAATACCTTTATTAGGTTTAATTTACTCTTATATGAATCGATCAAATATATATATATATATATATATATTAATAAAAATACAATGATAGGTATAAATTGTTAATAGGTATGATTAACAATTATGTGAAATCAACAAATTGTTGGGTGCAATAACTAATTATTTTTTAGAAAACCTTTTTTCTTTTTGTATTAATTTAGTAAATGTGATTAAATGAATTGTAAATATATGTTAAATTAAGAACCTAATTTATTGTATTGTTTCTTAATTGTAATCAATATGGCATTCAATTTTTAAGTTTAATAATATGTATATTCCATATACTTGACTATAATGTTATTGAAAATACGAAATAAAAAAAGTTAAGTACATAATTAGACGTTCAAACTAATTGACGTCATACTCTGTTTTGCGAAAAATATCAAGTATCTGTTTGAANATTTTGCAATTATCCATCAATTTTTTAAAATTAAACACTATCTACAGATTTGCATCGAAGCGTTTCTTATGATAGTGATTTTAATCACTGTCAGATTAAATCTATCTGGACCCAACTATGCAATGTCTCCACTATGCCGCGACCCCACTGTGCTACCGTTTTTCTTTTAAGAAATTGTAGTAATCTACAATTTCTAAAAATGCAAAAAAAATTTTAGTCTTACCACTCACTATTCTATTAATACTATATCATTATAAGTTTTTTAAATGGAAAAATATATGTTTAACCAATCTTTTAAATGATAAAATTATCTAAGTTGATATAATTTTAATGTATATGGAAGTGGTATACAGAGTGTTCAGTACGTAAGGAAACTTTTCAGTTGTTACAAAAAATGAGAACAATAGAAACCCGTTTCCTTACTTATTAAACTCCCGTATATAAGCTTCTGAAAAGAAAGACTATATTATGTTTTATATGTTTAATGATATTACGTATCTTATAGTTAAACAATCACCCTGTAAACTTCATCTACTATTTATCATAAGTTACCATATAATTTTTTAGATAAAGTATTAAAATAAAATATATTTTTATACGTTATCCTGATATTTATATATAAAAAAATTGTTTTAACTATTTATTTTTAACTTATAACTTAACATAAAAGTTGTCTTACCTCACTCAAAAAGTTATAAGATTATTGTTGTCAATTTCAAAAAATAAAAGTTTAAGTTAAACTTAAAAAAAATTATAATTGATTATCTATGACTAATCATTGAAAAATAAATGAAAATAATCCAACACCATAAAAAGATTTTTTAAAAATGTATTAGCTGATACACATTTATAAAAAACAATGCTTATCTAACAGATAGAATGTGTTTGGCGCTGTTGATGGATTGATGTTAGTTTAATTTTATTTATATTTGATAATTATTGTAAAAATTGTTAATCAATTTGTACATTGAAAAAACCGTTTACTTTGAAGTGTATAAATAATCTAAAAAAACAGTATTTTTTATTTTAATGATTATTTAATTACTATCAAAAGATTTAAATTGTGTGTTGGGTTAACCCGATGCGAATTTTAATATTTCATATTTATCGTTAACATTTTTAAGTTATTAAAAAACGAATTTTCAACAATTTTATCATTCAATTTTTTTTTACTGAGTGGCGATAGTTTAAACTGGGACAATAATTTTATTTGTCCAGATCATATTTGAATACTTAACATGTAAGATTTGATTTAGTTTAGAACAAATATTAGTAAAATAAACGTGTGATACATTGGTTAATAGCAAATTCATGGTTTATTTTTTTAAATAAACTACTTTATTTATTTCTTATACTGTTTCTACGATTTATTTTTCCTTCAACCAAGTATTTCAAAAGTGTCATCAATGAATAATTAAGACAATATTTCCCACCTGATAAAAAATTAATGAAAAAAGAATGTGATTTAGCATCTTATATTATCACCTAAAATACTTTTAGAATATCAGATATAAAATCAAATTGTACTTTTTTTTACAAAATGTATAACATAAAATAGATTTGTTATTTTTATTAAAATTATGTTATGTATTATTATACCTAATATGTTTAATGTATACATTGTGTACTACACGCGAAAAATGGTCGCAAAAAAAACCTTTATTACTACAAGTTCTAATAAAAAAAAAAATAAAAATAAAATTTATTGTAATATTTGGTGAATATTTGTTTCTTTTTTGGGGGTTACTCTGATTTTGAGTTTGTTTTGACCACTATGTATTTAAAACCATTAATGAAAGTTCAATATGATTTCAATCACTGCTGGAATAAGTGCCGGCGCTAGATATTGCACGACCTAATGCAAAAACGTTATTGGGAGGCCTTATTTATTTATTAGCTTCGATGCGAAGCTGAGAAGGTATTGGTTTTACTAAGATGTGTTTTTTTTTTTTTGTGTCTGTTACCACTTTTTCTCAGCTCTCACCGAACCGATTTCTTTCAATGATACGTCAAAAGATCACAAATCGTATCTAGTCGAAGACATTACCCTTAAAAATTGAAAAAAATTCCCTCGTTCCCCGTAAAAGGGGGAAACCTCCAAAAAAATTACAAATTTAAAAATCGCTAATTTTCGAAATTTTTTCAATTTTTTTTACTTAAAAGTGCCATAACTTTTTCAAAAATAAACATATCAATATAATTCTTTTTTATATAGATGCATAATATCATTACCTTTCATTTGGTATATTTTTTTCATAAATTTAACCCTTAACCTGCCCACAAGGGGGGATTTAAAATGACAACTTTTTCACAAAAAATTAATTTTTTTAACTTAAATTTTGAAAATGTTCCGGAAGGTCTGACACTTTTATATATATCTTAAATTAAAGTTAATGTAATATGCTTTATCATGAAAAAAAAAAATTTCGGACTTTATCTTATCTTCATGGTGAAAATGGCTACCGAATGATATTTTTGTGTTAAAATACTCGATTTTATATTTTACATTTTTAACTTTAAAATTCTATAAAAAATGTTGGACTATATTTTGTTTTCATGGTGATAACGAACATTAAAGTTAATAAAAAATACGATTTTTGTAAAAAATTTCTTTTTTATATTTTTAACTTAAAATGCTATAACTTTAAGAAAAATGTATGGATCAATTACAATTTTTGTTATGATAAATATTATTTATATACCTCTTTCATGAGACATACTTTTTTTTTTAAATCGGACATTATCCTTTATATATTTATATATTATAAATATATATATATTACAGTTATAAATTATAAGACTTAATTAGAATATAAATAAGGAAATAAGAAATCATGTAGCTTTTGGAATAATCCAACTATTTTTAAAATTAAAATTAAAAGAACCCATTAAAAACTTCAATATGCTATTTTAATAGGCACATACAACAATTTAGATCTATATCTAAAGTTTAATCCACTACACAAGTCATTCAAAGTTGATTTTGATGGTCATTTTACAATCAAAACTCATATTTTCTCCAGAACTTTTTTGTGCTTACATCTTAATTATACATTTTTTATGGCTGATAGGATATTTTATAAGGATTTTAAAAATGTAGTTTTTATATTTTAATATAAATAAATTCTGATATAATTGCTGGTAATATTAAAAAAATGTGAAAAGCTCTACATTTTGATATTACAACAATATTTTTAAAAATTATTTTTAATACCAAAATTAAATATATTTTAAAATAAATATATGACGCAATCCTATTTAGTTTTTAATGCCAAAAAATTGTTTTTGTTAGATATAACTAAACCAGTGGCGTCTCATTGATTGGACGATGGGACGATCACATCCCCTACAAAAATCAATTAAAAAATTAATTGTCTATTCTTAATTCTACATTTTTATTAAAAATTCAAATGTTTAATAGTAAAATAGTTACAACACATTAGTCGTGTACAAACATTTATTTTATAGTTGTTTCCCTCAATATATGCGACTACATATATGTACACAGTGTTAAACAACCGGCAGCGTCGTCCATATGGTAAAATATTAGTATATTACTATAATTGTAATTTATTTTTAGAATAAACTAAGTGTACGCTCGTCGTTTTTGGTTACTATAATAGAATCATCGCTATTATTATTATTTTTCAATGCAAACTTTCGAATTATAATATGTGTATTGGGTTTTATTTTATTACATTTAATTTGATAAATTTTATATCAATGACTAACAGTATTATATTAAAATCGCACTCCCATCACCAGCACCCACGAGCCACCACCGAACTAAAAGATTATACAATTGTATAAGGTATTAGGATGAATTAAAAAACTACTTAATAATTGAGAAATTGAGAAAAATATTTATGAAAATAAAAATACAAAAAATAATTTTTTTAACATCATTATTATTTTAAGAGAAATCAAGTAGTCAATATAGGTCTTAAAAAATAAAAGATTATAAAATCGTTTTTTACGTTAAAAATACAACAGATAATGTTTTACACATAAAATTGGCTATATCGTTGATTTTCTAGGCAAAAATCCAAACCGGTTCTTAGTAATTGATATTTCTTTTATTATTCTTATGTGTATTATCTTTCCGAAATCTTCATACTATGACTTATAAGCCTTATGTTTCTATTATTCCCACACTTCTGTGTGTCTTCTTTGCCTTTAAATATCAGCACAATATTACTATTCCTCCATTCATTTAATATTTTCCCTTCAAATAAGATTTTATTTAAAAGTTCCTTCAACCACCTTATGATAACACCACTTGTTCTTTTCTCTTAAAGTTTTAGAAAAAATTAATCATTCAACTGTTCGTTTTATTGATAATGGGTTAAATTTACTGTGGCCATTAGGTGGACAAAATGAAAAAGTGTAATTGTTACTTTGAGAAACTGAATCATAAACGATGAGAATTGACAGACATTAAAAGTTTTTTACCCCAATTTAATCCAAGTTACATATGTATCTCGCATGTTTATCAGAGTTTTTCATCATTTTTTTGAAAATCTGACACTTAACCTGCTCATGGGGGGGATTCAAAATAGATATTTTCTTACAAAAGTTAACTTTTGAAAATAATTCAGAAATACTGCGTTATTTAAACATATGTTAAATTAAAGCTTATGTTTCGTACTATAAAAAAAAAAATTGTCCTTACAACCTATCTTCTATGTACAAATGAGCGATGAAATTGAACAAAAAATATAATATTTGTTTAAAGAATTATTTTTTATCGTGATTTTGGTACTTAAAACTGCAATAACTTTTTTAAAAATAAACAATTGAAATAATATCATTTTATATAAATACCATAGATATTTTGCTTTCATTTAATATAAATTTTTTCAAAATCTAACCCTTTACTTAGCCACGGGGTGGAATTCAAAATGGCAACTTAAAATATACGAATTTAAACATATATACAGGGTGATTTTTTTATCATAACCCACTCAATTACTTACAGAATAATAATAATTTAAAAATTTTTTTTTATTACTATCTTTAGTTACATATTATTCTTGAATTATTAACTATGTAATACTTTTTAAGATCATCCATTATGCCTGGTAGGGTGTCAGCTTTGTTTTTTTAAATGGTAATACATATTTTTAATTTAATAAAAGGTTTGAGTTTTTAATTCAATAGTAAATGGCATTTGAATTTTTAATGAAACTTAATTTGTTTATTAAATATAAACATTTAAAGTTTCAAATTTTTGAATTAATATATAGGTATAATACACAAGGGATTACAAATACAGGTAGCNGATATAAACATTTAAAGTTTCAAATTTTTGAATTAATATATAGGTATAATACACAAGGGATTACAAATACAGGTAGCTAATTGGTTTTTTATGATATTGCTATCACAGTCACGGATTGTTTATTATCAATTATGACTATCAATAGATATATTTTTTGTATTGTCAGTTAGTGTATTTATAAACTCACAACAATGTACCTTACTATCATTGATAATAACAATGCTGTGTAAAGCTAAAATACAATTTTTGTAAACGAATTCTTTTTTATTTTTTTAAATTTTTAAATGTTAAAATTGTTATTGAATAATATTTTCATTTTTCGTTATAATACATAATATGTATTATAAATATATATTATACAGAGTGATTTTATCTTCGATGCGAAGCTGAGAAGGTATTGGTTTTAATAAGATGTTTTTTTTTTTTTTTTGTGTCTGTTACCACTTTTTCTCAGCTCTCACCGAACCGATTTCTTTCAATGATACGTCAAAAGATCACAAATCGTATCTAGTCGAAGACATTACCCTCAAAAATTGAAAAAAATTCCCTCGTTCCCCGTAAATGGGGGAAATCTCCAAAAAAATTACAAATTTAAAAATGGCTAATTTTCGAAATTTTTTCAATTTTTTTTACTAAAAACTGCCGTAACTTTTT